GCTGGATGTCGCGCGTCGCGTTGACAGAGTAGCGGTAGAGGCAGACGTACAGCACGCACAGGACGAGGAGCCACGGCACGAAGATCGGGTTCACCACGGAGACCACGACGATGGTCGAGGCGATGGGCATGATGCAGTTGATCCACTGCTGCAGGTTCATCAGCACGGTGTTGTCGCACATCTCCGTGTCGGAGGTGAAGCGGTTCAGGATCCGCCCGGAGGGAGTCGTCTCGAAGAAGGAGGTCGGCGCGCGCAGCATCGTGTCGAGCAACTGGACCTGCAGCCTCGCCGCGGCGCGGCAGCCGATCACGACCAGCACGAAGACCGAGCGGCCGTAGACGGCGATCGAGGCGCAAAAGGCAAACGCGACGTAGATCGGGATCCAAAAGTCGATGTCGTCGGGGTGCCGGTCCCATTTCGCCTCGATCCAGTACGTCAGCCAGATGTCGGTCATCGTGACGAGCGCGCGGTCGACGCAGCACATGACGGCTGCGATGAGGACGAGGCCCCGCCCGCCCCCCGCGGCGATGTACGCGCGCCACACTGCGGACGAGATCGAGCCCGTCTGCCGCTCCTCCAGCGTGCTCAGGTGAGCGCCGGCGTCGTCCTTCCTCGCGTCGCCGATCTCGACCACCGTCCGCTCGCGCAGGCCGATCGTCTGCTCGCTGAGCGAAGGCCGCTCGCCCTTTGCGCCCGCGCCGTCCGCCTCGCCGCCGTCCGCGCCGCCCGCCTCGCCGCCGTCCGCGCCGTCCGCCTCGCCGACGTCCGCGCCGCCCGCCTCGCCGCCGCCCTCCGACGCGTCCGGCTCGCTATCCGGCGCGGCGTCGAGCTGCAGGTCCTCCTCGAGCCCGGCGAGGGCGGGCAGGGCGGACGTCACCGCCGAGGCGCGCAGCTCGGCGTACGCCCCGCGCGCGAGGATGCCTCCCGCCTCCATGAGGAGGACCTCGTCCGCGGCTGGCAGGTACTGCGTCTGGTGCGTCACGAGCAGCCGCGTCTTGCCGGCGAGCAGGCCGTGCGGCCCGAGGACCCGCTGGAAGAGGTGCTTGCCCACGTGCGCGTCGACGGCGGAGAGCGGGTCGTCGAGCAGGTAGATGTCCGCGTTCGCGTAGACGGCGCGTGCGAGCGCGATCCGCGCCTTTTGGCCTCCCGAGACGTTGATGCCCTTCTCGCCGATCTGCGTCATGTCGCCGCCCGCGAGGATCTCCAAGTCGGCGCTCAGCGCGCACGCCTCGACCACCTTCTCGTACCACGCCTCGTCCATCGGCGAGCCAAACAGGATGTTGCTGCGGGGGAGGGGGGGGGGGGGTGATGGAGTGCGCGCGCGGTACTGGGCGGGGGAGGGGCGGCGGTTGCGGCGGGCTTTGGTGTGCTGGGGTCCTCTTCCGGACCACCCCTCCCCCTCGATGCCAGAGGATACCCGGGGGTGGGAAGTGGGGGCGGGGGGCGATGGACCTACGCATCGTGTCCGAGGCGATGAAGGGCGTCTGCGCCGCGTAGGCCACCGAGCCGTCGAGCGAGAAGGAGGCGCCGCGGTCCGACTCCATCTCGCCGAGGAGCGCGACGAGGAGCGAAGACTTGCCCGACCCCACCGCGCCGGCGAGCATCGTCAGCTCGCCGCGCTTGAGCTCGACGTCGAGGTCGATCAGGGTCGGCTTGGCGGGCGCGCGCGAGCTGCTCGGCGCGTCCTCCATCATGTCGAGCGGCGACGCCTTCACGCCCATCGCCACTGGGTGGGAGCGCGTCGGCTCCTCCAGCACGGGGGGCGGGCGCCGCAGCGCGCGGCGGAGGCTCGACAGCCGCACGGCCGACGTTGAGGAGCGAGCCACGCCGCCGCCGCGGCCGCCGCCCGCCGCCGCGCCGCCGGCGGAGGAGCCGACGGAGGAGCGCTTCCACGAGAGCGCACGCGTGCGCCCGCCGCCGCGCCCGCCGCCCTTTGCGCCTCCGCCCTTGCCCTTGCCCTTGCGCGGCGGCGGCAAGTCGGGCGCCGACCACAGGAAGGAGCCGCGCAGCGCCGCCGCCGCGGCCGTAGCCTCGGGCGGCGTGATGGAGCCCTCCTCGGTCGGCGTCTCGAGAACCTCGGGCGGCGAGGGCGGCGGCGAGGGCGGCGGCGGCGAGGGCGGCGGCGACGACTCTGGCGACGCCGCCTTGCGCAGCACGTCGGCGGCCTCGTCGGCGGCCGTCGGCGCGGGCGCGGGAAGGAGCGTCTTTTGGCCAATCTCCTTGTTTTTGAGGAAGCGGTTCACGCGGGTGAGCGAGATGCGCAGGTTGAGAGTCTGGATGACGATGAAGGGCAGGAAGGAGAGCGGGAAGCGAAGCTGCGTCAGGTAGGCGAGCGCAGTCATCGTGCTCGGGCCGGTGAGCGTGCCTAGGACGGCGCCGAGGAGGCTCATGGGAGGGCCCCGGCGGTCCCCTTTCCCTCCGGGCCCGGAGCGAGCGCCTCCGAATCCGACGTACGAGCCAAAGGTTCCGACGGCGACAAAGAGGAGCTGCGTCGCGAGCAGCGTGGAGAAGAGGGCGGTGATGTACCGCCCCGCGCGGATCTTGACCATCTCCTTGGACCGGATGGCGAGGAGGCGGCTCTTCATCGACTCCTCCCAGCCGCAGAGCTTGACGACGCGCATCCCCTGCACGAGCTCGTTGGTCACCTTGACGCGCTGGTCGGTGAGCTTGAGCTGCTCGCGCCGGATCTTGAGCAGCCGCTTGGAGACCTGCGCGCGGGGGCGGGGGCGAGGGCGAGGGTGGGCGCCGGGGGTGAGCTGGCCGGAGCCGGAGCCGCCGGCCTTGCGCGCTGGCCTGCGGCGAGATGACGAAGAGGAAGAAGGCCATGACTGCGATGCCGACGCCGAGCGCCTTGCCGATGAGGAGGCCGAGCAGGACGAGGTAGATGACGAACTGGACCGGCGCCGACCAGAGCATGTTGACCACCGGCGCAACCATCAGCACCACCTCCGCGTCGATGGCCATCAGCGTCTGGATCTGGCCGGTCGACGACTCGTGCACGCCTAGCAGTAAGGTTCCGAGAGGGATCCGAGAAGGGTCGCTGGCGCTCGCCGGTCGACGGCTCGCGCGCGCCCGAGAGGCGGAGGCACTTGCGGAAGAGGCCCGTCATGAGCACGGAGCGCGCGCGCAGCGCCGCGCGCGTCATCAGCATCTCCGAGTGCGAGAGGCAGAAGGAGCCGATGATCCGCGTCACGAGCAGGATGACGGCGAGCACGTACCCGAACCAGCGCTCGTCGCAGCTCAAGCCGTACTCGGTGGGCAGGGTGCCGTTGCCGGCGTGGGCGTCGCACGCCTGCTCCTCGACGATGAGCTCGAGGAAGCGGCGCAGGATGAGCGGCCCTCCCACGATGCAGCCGACGTACAGGCCGTACAGCACCGCGCTCACGCCCGCCAGCCGCAGCACCGCCGGGCGAAGCGCGCGCCCGACGAGCGGTGTCGCCTGGGGGCAGGGCTGGGGGGTTGAGGCGCGGCGCCCGAAGCCGGGCGCGTCGTTGGGAGGGCGCGCCTTGTAGCTCGACTGGAACGACGAGTAGACGGCCGCCACTTTGTCAGTCTCCATGAGCCTGACGGACGGCGGCGGGGCGGCGGGGGAGCGGTCAGCGGGCTGGCTGGCAGGCGGCCGGCAGGTGGCGGCGCGGCGGCGCGGTGGAGGTGCGGCTGTGCGGGCCGGCTGCTCCGGCCGACGGACGGGCGCGACGCAGCCCCACGCACCCTGGGAGATCCTCCTCCTCGAGCCGGCGCTTGTGCGCGAGCTTGTTGGTTGGCATGATGGCCGAGAACCAGAGGCTGAAATAGCCGGGCGGTGCGGCGTCCGCGCCCCGCGGCTTGATCTCCGCCATGTGAGGAAGTGGGGCGGGCTGGCTGCGGCGGGTTTGCGGCGAGAAGCAGGCGGTCTGTCGCCCAGGTTGCGGAACCCGGTTGTGGGAAGCCGAGAGTGAAGTGAAGTCCGGGAAGCGACCTGGGCATTTTGTTTCTTTTTCTTGTAGGAAAACCCCCCAGCATGGGAGCGGAACGATTTGTTGTTTTTGTGCGGCGCGGCAAGTAGCGGCGGCTCCTTCGTTTACCGCTACGACAAGCAGCGACTCGTAGGAGGACTCTGTCTGTCTGCTGACAGCGATCACAAAAACTCTCTCTGATCACCCTGGCCCCCAAGATCGTTTTGGTCGTCACATTGTGATCCCCGACGTCGTCGAATGTCGCCCGCCTGTCCTTCCCCCCGTTCTCGTCTCTGGTAATCTCATCCTATTGTCCCATCGGTGCTTGAGGCTGGCTACCGCCACTTCGCTCCACAACCGTCCCGCCACCCCTGCCGTGTGCGACCCCGGCCTCACCGTCTTTCGATATTGCTCGCACACCCACTCGTGCGCGCTCTTACACATGTGTCCGTACGTCCGTCGGTCCGCTATCTCCCTCTTCTCTGTGTTCCCTGCCGCGTCCCTTCGCACCGTGTACATGCATGGCCGCGTCCGCACCGCGTCCCGCACCACTTTCGAGGCGTCCTCCGTGTCGTTGTCTCCGAGGTGTGCTGTCGCTACCGCAGAAAGAAAGCGCATGCCCGGACCTCGTGCAGCAAAATTCTTTTTGCCTGTTTTGTCAGCGGCGCTCTTTCCACTGTCCGTAGGGTGTGGTTCGGCTTAGGAGACTTCCTAGCGATGTCTCAGCCTCCTCCGCCTCCGCCCTCCTCCGAGGAGTCCCTGGTCGCCCTCCGCGTGATGCGGCTGTGCCGGCCGTCCTTTGTGCAGCAGCCGCCGCTGCCGGGCGCTGCAGTCTCCGCGGCGGCCTCGTCGAGCGGCGCGGGTGGCGTCGGCGACGGCGCCCTGCTGACCGGCTGGATGGCGCTGCCGCAGTCGTTTGGCGACATCTACCTGGGCGAGACCTTCTCGTGCTACATCTCGCTCGCAAACGTCGCCGGCTTTGAGCTCGGCGCGGTCGCGCTCAAGGTGGAGGTGCAGACGCAGGTGCAGCGCGAGACGCTCGCCAACACGGCGGCGGCGGGCGCCGACGGCACTCCGCCGCCGCCCGAGGGGCTGGCCGCCGGCCAGACGCTCGACCGGATCATCCGGTACGAGCTGCGCGACGTCGGGATCCACATCCTGATCTGCTCCGCCTCGTACAGCGACCGCGAGGGCACGCGCCGCTCCTTCCGCAAGTTTTTCAAGTTTGCGGTGCAGAACCCGCTCTCGATGAAGTCGAAGACGCACTCGCTCAGCCACTCGGACGAGATCCTGGTCGAGACGCAGCTGCAGAACGCGACGCCGCACCTCCTCTTCCTCGAGTCGGTCGCCTTCTCTCCCGCCGCCGCCTTTAGCTCCGAGCCGCTCACCGGCGAGCTGGCGGGTGGCGGCGCGGCGGAGGGCGGCGCGGCGGAGGGCGGCGCGGAGGGCGGCGGGGTCGCGGCCCCCGTGCCGGCGTTCGGCTCGATGGAGTACCTCCGGCCGGGCGACACGCAGCAGTATATGTACCGCCTGACGCCGCGCACGCGACCGAGCGCAGGCGGCAAGCCGGCGAGCGGGCTGGGCCGGATGGAGGTGATCTGGAAGGGGGCGATGGGCGAGGCGGGGCACCTGCAGTCCAACCTGGTGCACCGCAAGTCGGCGCCGAGCAGGCCGCTCGACGTCGCCGTCGTGTCCGCCCCCGAGGCGGTCGAGCTGGAGGCGCCCTTCGAGCTGCGCTGCGTCGTCACAAACGCCAGCTCCAAGCCGCGCGAGCTGACGGCGCGGCTCGAGGCGGCGCTCGACCGGCCGATCGTCGCGACCGGCGCGCTGCCGCGCTCGCTCGGCCTCCTCAAGCCGCAGACCTCCCTCCCCTTCACGCTCTCGCTGCTGCCGCTCGAGCCGGGCGTGCACGCGGTGTCGGGCCTGCAGCTGGTCGACGTGCAGACCGGTGAGGCGTTTGACGTCGGACCGCTCGCGCCGCTGCTCGTGCTGGGGCCGGGCGAGGCGCCGTGACGGGGAGGGAGAGGGGGCCCCGGCGGGGGGCTCGGCGGCGTGGAGAGAGGCGCGAGCTCGGTGCGGCTTGACTGTGGCTTGAACGGGGGCCGCATGTCATCAGTCATGCAAAAACACTGCTCTCTCCCTCGTTCTTCGTCTCTTCGAGCGGTCCCTTTATAGCCCCCCGCTACCCAGTTGCACTCGTGCGACGTAGCGGGGGGCCACGACTACGTTTAAGAAACATAAGTAGTCCCGCGAGGTGAATTTTGCCGCCACAGAGGAGTAGCCCCCTTTGAAACGGCCGAGATGCAGTAGGGTCGCCGGGCGGCGACAAGTCGCTTGGGTGTTGGCTGTGATCGGCCACTTAGTGCGAATAAAGTCGTCCCGCCCTGCGGGATTGGAGGCGTGCCCTCTGGGCCCCGGCTGGCTGCCCTCGGACTGGGCAGAGGAGGCGCGGCTCGCGAGGGAGGGTCCGTGCTCGGCGTCGCACAAACGGCCGAGAGGGTCGCCGGGCGGCGAAGTCGTTTGGGCTGTTGGCTGTGATCGGCCACGGCGTGCGAATAAAGTCGTCCCGCCCTGCGGGATTGGAGGCGCGCCCGCTGGGCCCCAGCTGGCTACCCTCGGACTGGGCGGAGGCGGCGCGGCTCGCGAGGGAGGGTCCGTGCTCGGCGTCGCACAAACTGCGCACAAACGGCCATGTTTCGGTTGCCTCGCGGCGAAGGCGGCGCTCGGGTCGGAGCTGTGATCGGCCACGGCGTGCGAATAAAGTCGTCCCGCCCTGCGGGATTGGAGGCGTGCCCGCTGGGCCCCAGCTGCCTACCCTCGGACTGGGCGGACCAGGCGCGGCTCGCGAGGGAGGGTCCGTGCTCGGCGTTGCGCAAACGGCCGAGATAGGGTCGCCGGGCGGCGGAGTCGCTCGGGTTGTTGGCTGCGACCGGCCACGGCGCGCGAATAAAGTCGTCCCGCCCTGCGGGATTGGAGAAGCACCCGCTGGGCCCCGGCCGGCTGCCCTCGGACTGCTCTGACGCCTCCTACGGTTTTCGAACTTGAGTTCCCGAGCAGGCGCCCGGTGCGTCGGCCGTTTTTCGTCTCACGGGGACGGGGGGGGGGGGGGGTTGGGCAAGGGTCTCTATGCGCAGCGGGGTCGAGTCAGGGGATGGGTGTGTGGGGTGGGATTTTGGGTGTGTTAGGTGTGTGTATGGGGTGTGTGGGATGTGGGTGTGTCCGGGTTACGTTACCTACGACTTTGGGGTTTAGGGGTAGTGTTTTGGGTTAGAGTTAATCCGGGTGTGTTCGATTTTATTCAATGCGCCATTTGCGCCGGCTTTTCCACCGGTCGCCATTGCCCATCTTTCGCCGATCTGCTGCCCCCGCGGGCGGCGATGGCGGACAGCAGCGCGCCTGGCGCGCCGGCAGTGCCGTCGGATGGCACGGCTGGTCGGCTGCGTCCACCTGCAGCCGGGGTGCGCGCTCGCCCTGATGCCGCGTCGTCGCCGCTCACGAACGCCCTCCTGAAGCGCCCTGCCGACCGGCCAGCCGGCGAGCACGAGCGCGCAGCTTCTCGATCCCGCGGCGCAGCGCCGCGGATGGAGGCCCTCGGGTCGGTGGAGAAGGACCCGGGCGCATCCGCCTCGACCCGCACCGCTGAGGCGCCAGCAGTTGCGGCGCGGCAGACTCGCGCCAATTCGGCGCAGCTCGCCTTGGAGCCCATCGCGCTCTCAAATCGCCTCGAGACCATGCTCCTCGGCAACCATCCCGTCCCTGCACCTTCCAACGAGGTGAGCGTCGCCAGCGAGGTCTCCAACGGCATCATTCTCGTCGCGAAAGCTGCCGTCGACGCGCTCTTTTCGTCGCCGCAGCGCGCTGCGCTGATGGCTCTCGGGCTGCGGGACCTCAAAAAGGCTGCGCTGGCGTATCTCGTGTGGGACCTCCGCGGCGTGCTGGCGGGCGCGCGCAACGACCAGGCGGTCGCGTACGGCAAGCGGCTCCAGACGCACGCGGCCAGCGTCGAGAGGGAGCTACTCAAGTGCAAGCGGCGCAAGGCAGCAGACGGCGCGGAGGAGGCGCTTCTTGCCGTGGTGCCAGAGGCGCTGCAGGACGTGCCGACGCCGGAGGCGACGGAGACGGACAGCGAGCCCGACCCGGAACCGACGCCGTCCGCCGAGATCGAGACTTTCTATCCCACGTCGCTTTGCGACCGCGAGTGGGAGCGCTACACCTCAGCCATTGAGCAGTCGGCGGACAGGGCCCTCGCGCAGCGCGACGACGAGCTGGGAGCCTCATTTAGGGAGTACGTGGCCAGCAGCAACCCAATGCACCAGCAGACTGCAGACTGCTTACGTAAAACGGCAGCGTTGGCCCTGTTCGACGGGGAGCTCCGGTATTGGTGGCGAATGCATCGGGCAGAGGAGCGGTCGCGCAGCGTCTTGGAAGAGGAGCTGCGGGAGGTGATTGGGGAGTTGAAGCGATGCGCACGTAGTTTAGACGCATGCACCGACCAGCTGGACGATGCGTTTCGTGAGATCGACTCGCTGCGCGAGGCGCTTGCGGCGTCTCGACGTGCTTGGCCTCATGTCGGAGGCGGGCGCGCGTAGGCTCCAAGGCGCCCGACTCGTCGAGTATGTCGCGGTCGGGCAACGAGAATCCAGGCCGGCGGGAGCCGTGTCGACGGCAGCGCCATCAGGTCACCGGTGGCGGCCTCGGCGCACCCGCTGGCGTGCTGCGGCCCCGCTAATGAGCTCGCGAAGTGCGGATATCGCACTCGTGCGGCCGCCTGCTGCCGGCGCGGCCGGGCACTCCGGGAATTTATTTCGAGTACTCTCGTAAACTCGTGACGCTTGTGGGGCTAGTATGTTGTTTTCTGGGGGCGCCCGGGGCGGCGGAGTATTTTTTTGTGCGCGCGGGCGGCCGGGGGCGGCCCCTGGGCGCCAAATGGCCGATTTTTTACAATCGAACACACCCGGATGTTTGGGTGTGTAGGAAGTGTAGTATATAGAAGCTTTTTGGATGTAAAGGGTGGGTGGGGGGTAGGTAACCGCAAACGCCCACTTGGGGGGCAGGTAACCGCAAACGCCCACTTCCTTCCCTGTCGACGAGTGTCTGCCTGTTCGAGTCTGACAGGGTTTGGGGTGGAGTTAGGGTTGTGTGGGGTGGAGTTAGGGTTGTGTGGGGTGGAGTTAGGGTTGTGTGGGGTGGAGTTAGGGTTGTGTGGGGTGGAGTTAGGGTTGTGTGGGGTGGAGTTAGGGTTGTGTGGGGTGGAGTTAGGGGCGCGTGGGGTGGAGTTAGGGGCGCGTGGGGTGGAGTTAGGGTTGGTTGGGTTAGGGTTAGGGTTAGGGTTAGGGTTAGGGTTAGGGTTAGGGTTAGGGTTCGGGTTAGGGTTAGGGTTAGGGTTAGGGTTAGGGTTAGGGTTAGGGTTAGTGGCTCCTCCTGGTCGTCGGTATC